AGAACAGATAGGGGAGGGACTCATGAGGTCCCATCTGTAAAGAAAAAAACTACTGGCAGTTAATACTTAGTAGAGGGGAAGCTGGTTTTTCAGACCACTGGTAAGTTGCCCATGGCCCAGTAAACAGACCCATAGGCACTCATATGCAAGTGAACCTAATTAAACTGAGTATATTGGGGGAAAAAAGACATGAAAATAGTAGGTTTCTGTGCTTATGCTCTTGTACACTATGACTTGTCATTTGTATTGGTTTAATAAAACTATGATTGGCTAGTAGCCAGGTGGGGTGACCAGACGAAGGCTGGGAAGAAAGGCAGAGACACAGTTGGAAGTAAATGCAGAGGAAGCAAGATAAGAATGCCTTATTGAGAAAAGGTACCAAGCCACTTGGATACACATAGATAACAATTATTAGTTAATTTAAGTTGTAAGAGCTACTCAGTAATAAGCCTGAGTAATAGGCCAAAATATAAGCCTGTGTGTGTTTATTTGGGACTGAATGGCTGCGGAAGTAGGGGAAAGAAACTTCTGTTTACAGAAGGTGTTGGGAAGATAGTTCTGAAGGGAAAGTGATAAGGAATTTAGGGTGAATATGTTAAAAATATATTATATATATATATATATATATATATATATATATATAAATAAATAAATAATCAAGGCGTAAAAAGTTATTTTTTAAAAATTAACATTATAAGCACACTAAAATAGTAAGCCAAAGCTCAGTTTGACCACAGGAGAGTAGTAGATCTCACTACTCTTCCATCCTGGCCAACAAGATTGTTTAATTCAATGAGTGGGGTGTTAGACAGCCCCAAACTATGTATTTGTGAGGCACAGGGGAGGGAGTCCCTTACATAAGAGTGTGGTTGAAGTTTTTTTAATTAATTTTTAATTATTTTTACTGAGGTATACATTTTTCTCCACTCCCCTCCCTTTCTCCCTTCTCCCCTTTTACCTTCTCTTGTGACCCCCACAATCCCAGTTAATTCAGATCTTGGCAAGACACTGGGTGAAGTTTTGAAGAATTATTTTCAACAATACACTGAAAATTTGCTGTGAAGATTGCTTACATGGATATTTTTCTATAGAACTATCTTAATTAAGAATTTTAAAATGGTAATGAGTTATGCTTCAGTTTAGGCTGAGAATAAATGACTTCAGAGTCTGGATCTGTTACTCTCCCACTTACAAGCCTACAATATTCCAAGGATCTCACAAGACTGTCATAAACTTTGTTTACAGTAAAAACATTTAAACCTTAGTGTGATTTCTAAAATCCTGGTGACCTCTGGTTTTGTTATATTAGCCTATAATCTTGTTTAGCACATCCTTAGGACCACCTAGTATTCGCTACAGAAATTGAAAGGAAAAAAGGAGAACAAGTGCACAGGTTTCTTGAGTTTATACAATGTAACTCCACCAAAACCTAACAGGCTGTTTGTTAAGATGCTAAGCACTACTTAGCTAAAGCTGTGGAGCCCTCACCCACACTTGGGTGTGTTCCATCCTTTCTTCCAGTTTGTAGTTCAAGACAGACACTGAAGCAGACTACTGTCCTTTTGGGTAAGAGAGTTATTAGAAAAGTTATTAATGCCATCGAACAGATACCTGGCTGGGGATTCAATGAGTTCAGGCCTGCACGACAAAGCAGAGCTCTTCTATGTCTTGGAGTTGATAAGAAGTCCATAGGCTCTGATTTTCTAGTGGTCAAAGAAGGGGGAAGGGCATGATTTTTATCCTTAAGGTAGCCCTTCAAGGAGGGCCATGTCACCAGTAGCCTGATAAACTTTCTTTGGGGAAGTGAGAATTAGACTCAGGGAGTAGTTGTCAGTTTCCTAGTCTGGTGATGTGGGCAGAGTGGTAAACTCCTTAGACGTGAAAACTATAAAACTCAGTCAGCTTTAAGTGGAGACACCTCTAGATGGGTGTGACCTGAGCAGCGACCACTTATGTTTAAATCTGTGTTAAGATCTCACCTTAATAAATCCCAGTTTTAGCTGATCTACTGGGAGCTCACCAAGGCCAGCTGGACTGTGACCGAAAAAGCATGGGATAAAACCGGACTCTCTGAACATGGCGAACAATGAGGGCTGATGAGACGCCAAGGACAATGGCACGGGGTTTTGATCCTACTTAATGTGCTGGCTTTGTGGAAGCCTAGTCAGTTTGGATGTTCACCTTCCTAGATATGGACGGAGGGGGGAGGACCTAGGACTTACCACAGGGCAGGGAACCCGGACTGCTCTGTGGACTGGAGAGGGAGGGGGAGAGGAGTGGGGGGAGGGGTAGAAGGGTGGGAGGAGGGGGAGAAGGGTGGGAGGAGGGGGAGGGAAATGGGAGGCTGGGAGGAGGTGGAAACTTGTTTTTTGTTTATGTTTTTTTTCTTCTTTTCTTAATAAAAAAAATTATAAAATAAAAAAAAGAAACAACATAGCCCATTAGAGGCAGGATGGATAATTTGTATACTCATTCAATGGAATGCTGTATTGCAGTAGAAACGAACTCATTTTTAAGCTTTCATTTCTTTTAATCATGTGCAAAATCACAGAAAACCAAATACCATGTTATTCATGAAAAAAAAATAAATAAATCCCAGTTTTGCCTCACGATGGCTTCTCCTCAAATCCTGTGTTTGGAAGGTTATAAAAAAAAAAAAATGAGACTTCACCTAAGCAGAGGTCTCTGCAACTACTCCAGCTAAAGCAGGATGCAGTGAGCTGTTTTCAGCCCTACTTTTGTGGCTCATTCTTCCCGACTACCCAAGTGAATGAAACATTATGTATTTCTAAACTCACGGCCATAGTATACATTATTTCTAAATCACTTCTAAAGGTGATACAGGATTTCTAAGAATCACTCCTGCTAGTTGCTTTTTTGAAAACTATGGCCGCCAAATAGCACCTATGATTATCAATGTGAATTTGGGATAAATAGAAAAATTTCCAGCTTATTATTCCTAATTGGCCATTTTGTTTATCACTGAAGAGAGAATAGGACACTATGCTGTATGCACTGTGATCTGCATGTTGACTCTGGGGAATATGTGAAACTGTTAGTAAACTAGTTTAAAGTTAAGGTCGTGGCCTGACAGTCAGTCCAAAATGGACCACTTCATCATAATCAGCTTTGGACAAATGAGAAACAGTAATTGCCAAGGAGAGGTATCACACGGCCTCTCTCCTGAAGTTTAAAATACAATATGAAAAGGAAGAATTAAGTGAAGGATAAGGATTTCTCCTGGTAATCCATGACTATTTTCTAAGTTAAAATTTTGGTTACGTAAATGGATGTTTTGCATGCAGGTGTGCACTACATGTGTGCCTCCTGCCCACTGAGGGCAGAAGAGAGCTCTGGATCGCCTGGAGCTGGATTAGAGGGTTGTGAGTTGCTATATGATGTTTGGGATCAAGTGATCAAATCATGGTTCTTTGGAAGAGCAGTGCGCTCTTAACATCTGAGACAACTTTCTAGGATCCCAAATAGGGTTCTCTTTACATATTTTTTTTTTAAATTCTTTAATTTTTAGTCAGCTCTTAAATTTTCCCCCCAAAAGAATAAGACCCAACAAGAAGCCCCATGCCTAGGTTGAGAAGCTATTGGCAACTGATGACTGCGGAAGGGAGGTGAGGGGTGAGGGCAGTTTTCTTTAATACCACACTGAGGCTACCCATCTCCAGTAGATGGCCCTATACAAACACATGCAGTACACCACAACAGTGAGCTTGGTGGGTTTACAAAACAACACACAAATGAAAGAGTTTAACCAGTGACATGAATCCTTTTCCTTACCTGTAGTACAAAACAACATCCCTCACAGAGTAGCCGTGAGCAGTTAAGTTTTCGTGCACCGATGTTCTTAAAACAATGCCAGTCCATTACTGGTGTATGCTAGTCACTTACAGCTACCCAAATATGCCAAATAGTGAGTGCAGTAGAAGATAGGTTCCCATTAGTTGGCCAAAACAGAAGCAGCCAAAGCAACAGGCAGGCAGCAAAAAGATTAACAAAACATAAAACAGGAATAGACTTCTCCAACATCTTTGTTGCTTATTTGGTGCTTCAAGCTTTGGGAGGTTTTCCTTTTTCATGCTTAATCATTAGACTAATTAGGAAAATCTTTTTTAAAAAGATAATTATATAATTTAATTACTTCAATAGGATATCTGCTTAGTGGAAAAGGAGTAACAACTAAAGCTATTTTGATACAAAATCTTTAAGTGACCTAAAAATGTCTAAAGACCATCCATGAAAATAGTCTTTGTAAACCTATTCTTGAAGAAATTCCATACATCTAAGAATGACACACACAAAAAAAATCAAAAACAAAGCACAAAGTTCATACAGAGAAACTTGGCAAGCTAGATGTTTTAGGGATAATGAATGCTACACGTCCAAGGGCACAGGCATCTAGCATTGATTAAAAGGCCCATGCAGGCGGGATAAAATGTAGTTGTAAGATCAAGAGACAAGCAATCAGGGAAAAACATGACCTTCCACCGACGAAAGAAATCAGACATGCCAATAAAAACCTCAAAATAACAAGCTGAACTTAATAGCTCATATTTTAGAATAAAGCCATGAGCATTACTGGATAAATTACTATAGATTAAAGTCAAATAAGATAATCTGCAAAACCCTAGAGTTAAAAAAACAAAAGCAAAAAAAAAAAAAACCCAAAAAACTAAAACAATATATACTCAAGTATCTTTAAGAGTTTTTAAAGTTTACTATGGGTGTATACAACACGCAATTTTCAGAGTAATCTTATTCATTCTTTCATTCTGCGTGTTTGTGGGTGCTCATCACAGATGCCAGAAGAGGGCAACAGATCCACTGGAGTTGAAATTACAGGTTATAAACTACCCACAATGGGTGCTGGCAAGTGAACTCAGCTCCTCCGGAGTTGAAGTGCTCTTAACCACCGCACACTATTTCTCCCGTTCCCAGAGAATCATTTTAAGAAAAGCGTTAGAAGCAGTAACTCAGAACTCAAAATATCTGCAAGAATCTTTTAATAGTTCTCTTCATTCTGATGAACTGATAAGAAAATCAAACAAGATCTATGTAAAGACAAAGTCCCCAGCACAAGATACAATGGCAAAGCTCAACCAGTGCACTGACTATAGTTCTGTAAATGTACAGTCAGCCTATAAACAGCTGATTTCAATTCATATTTTGTTTACATTACTGGCTTACATTATAAGACAGACTCCAAAAATTTCCCTTTAAGAATTCCACTAGAAAGGTTAAAATTAATCATTCTATTTTAAATTATGTAAAGGTTAATGCCTTACTTCTGTAAAGTGTTTTTTATGTAAATTTTAACATGGGGAGATGACATACTAACCATAACTCCTGTACTAGTTTCATAAGCTTGGCAACCTAAAGTTATTTCAAAATAAGCGGTTAGAAAAGACAGGCCAATTTAGGATATTAATTCCTTTGTGCAAGCAAAACTAGGCAAGAAAAACAACATTTACGTTCCCATGCTACAATGAGTTACAACATGTATAAAATATATCTAGGTTTGGCTGCTTTGATGCCGTAATAAAAATGCATGTATGTAACAGAAATAATATCTTTGAGCTAACAAGCATTTCCTTAACCTTTCTTAATAAATTGACATTCTTCTTTAAAAATACTGTTACTTTAACATAGAGTAAATACTGTTACTTTAACATAGAGTTTATAATGCGATTTCATTTAATTTTTATCTGAGTGACACACAGAGGTTCTGGAAGGAAATAACAATTAAATGGTCACAAATGTAACCACCGCACAATGTACTAAAAATGAAAACAGTGCTGTGCAACCAGGTCTGAGGTTAGGAAACATCATTTGCTTCAACAGTACCACCTCAACAGACAAGCTACTATTCAAGGGAAAACAGGCTCAGTAAGGAAGCGATAAGTGTAATTAATATTTTGAATCAAACTGATTCAACCTCTTCCCTCAGACAGAAAGTAAGATCACTTTTCTAAATGAATTCATGTCTAACTAAAAACTTAGAGACAATATTTGGATCCCAGTTTTTCTTTTCTTTTGGTTTTTCGAGACAGGGTTTCTCTGTGGCTTTGGAGCCTGTCCTGGAACTAGCTCTGTAGACCAGGCTGGTCTCGAACTCACAGAGATCCACCTGCTTCTGCCTCCCAAGTGCTGGGATTAAAGGCGTGCGCCACCACCGCCCAGCCTGGATCCCAGTTTTTCATTGCCAAAAAATGTGAGCACGCCCTCGTATCCGTAGAGCTTAAAGACTAGATTTGTGTCTTTACACTTGTTGACAGAACTAGATAGACAGAATGTTGCATACAGTTGGCTGTATCTAATGTGAACAACATACTTGCCTGGTGCCCACAGAGTCCAGAAGAGGGACCAGTAACTGAAGTAGAGTTCCTTGAGTATATAAGTTGCCATATGGGTGCAGGGAATCAACCCAACAGCCAGTGCTGTTAAGGGAGCTCTCTCCAGTGCCCACCCAGATTCTTTATTAACTAAGATAATATTTTGACTATACTCATACTTTCTTTGTAAGAATTCCATTAATACCAACGTAAACACCTTTAACTTTCATTTTGATTTATACCAGTTTAAGGCACCAATTTACTAGAGTTCTAACCTTCATATAACAGGTTTCCCCTTGAGCTGTGCCTCAAAAAGTAACCTATTCATTAACGGCTGTAATTGGCATAAATATAAATGTTCTGTGTCATATACAATTAATAGAAATGAGGTATAACATAAAATCAGTATTGTACTGGTAAACTTGTCAACCTCTTTGTGGCACCCTTAGAAAAATTCCAAAGAATCAAGCAGCTACACTAACACAGAACACGCAGCTGTCCTACTTGTTCAGTACTGCATACTTTGTTCTTGTCGCCTTGACCACAGCACACGACACAAACAATCAAAGGAGCAAAGGTTTATTTTGGCTCGCAGTTTCAGAGGATACAGTTTACATACAATGGCTGGGAGGCAGCACTGAGAGCGCGGGACAGAGGTGGCTCCATGCCCTGACAGCAGGGGTGTATAATCCTTAAAGACTCACTCCTAGAGAACCCAACCAGGCCCAACATCCAAAAAGTTCCACAGCCTTCAAAACAGAGCCGTAAATTGGGAACTCAAAACAAGCTCTCAGAGGCATTGCAGAGTCAAGCCTCACACATACCTTAACACATCTCAACAAAGCTACACAGTCACAATTTTACAGATACAGTTTTCATCTGGGAGACAGAGATAATCTCTAAGAGATTTAGACTAGAAATTTAATAAAATTTAGTCAAAACATCATAAAAACACCTTTAAATAATTAAAAAGATTTTCAAAACATTATTGCTTACTCTTATGAAATGATAAATTTTAACCAAATTGATGCTTCTATAAACTTAATTTTATTTCCTATAGTCTTAAATTATATTGCTTGACAAGAACTATAGATATCGGTGTAACTCTGAAATTAAACGAACTGCAAACGAATTCTGTGAGCAGTACACAGAGACAGTGACTATACTGCTTTAGGGTTAGCACTACCGAAGTAACCACCTCATAGGGGAAATAAAACTTTATTACAGTAACAAAGTTCATGAAAAGGCCAATTAAATTTTTTATATTACACCTTTCTACCGTTCTAAGGGTAACGGTAATATAAGAAAAAAATCCTTTTATTTCTCTGCTTATAATAATTTTTACTAAGAAATACTACAATCATACTTATGAGTTTTTTTCCTCCCTTTGTGTGTGGGGTAACAACTATGTTTTTACTATTGAGGAGACTTGGAGTCTTAATATGGAACTCAAAAGAAAGATAGAGGCACAAAAAAATCAAGAGACTTTGGCTTTAAAGAAACTCATGATAACCCTAAAATGGCAGATTAAAAAACAACAAAAAGGTTACAGCAGCAAGCTACTACTTCACCACACACATTGAGAACTCTAAATCAGACAAGAGTTTTCTGCTTCTCTTCCAATCAATCTGCAATTTCTTCTTTTTGTTTTTCCTGCTTTTTGGTTGTGGGCAGTTCAAGACTAGCCCATTGCATGGGCTCTGCCTTTCTCATAGTGATCTCAATCTTGGTTGCAGTCATAGTTACATAACTTCGTTTAACATCAATCACCTACAACACATCAAGAGTAAACATTAACTTGGTGCTTTTATTGGTCTCAGAAAAACACATCTTGCTTATTCTAATGACAAAAATCAAGCCTCTGGAGCCATTTTTTATGCAATTTAAGTATCTTAAAAGACACATTAAGGTTTTATTCATCAACTTTCCATGAGTATTCATTCTAATTTTTTTCATTATCAGGGAAAATAAATAAGTGGATTCATAATACTTACGCCCCACAGTTTCACATTTTGATGAAATTCCTTCTCTCCTTCAAATACAATGTGAACATTTAACTGAAATAGATAAATTGTTATTTTTTGGTGGTAGATATTGAAAACCAGGCCTTAAAACACACTAAGCCTGCAGTAAAACAGTGAATCACATCCAGTCAAGAATGATAACTGATCAGAGTGAAGGTTTGTGAAACCAAGCACCGATTACAAAGACAAGACGGACATTACTTAAGCCATGAGAAAATGTCAATGGTGGCTCCCCAACTTCCTGCTTCCTTTAAGAAAATGAGTATGAGAATAAAAAAATTAACTGAAAGGTTCATACTGAAAAACCTGTATTTTGTGATTCTTCTAAGATACTACATATTTTAGAAAATTTCAGAACACAATGTTCTGAAGAACAAACTTTAGAAACACGCAGAAACACTGATTTTTCACTTAAAATACTGCTTCTATAAAAGTCATTAGTTTTCTGATCAGAGCTAAGAACTCTGAGAAAATATAAACAAATAATGCGTTAAGGGTAATTTTACTCAGTCAGTTCATAGACTCACCAGTGTACTGTTTGCCTCCACCTGGCTGAGCTCTGGCAGTGAATTCTTAGCATACACTGAGATGGTAACTTCACCGCCAGTCTGATGCCAGTCATGTCTACATGGTACAACTTTCTTCCCCTGTAATGTAATACAAACCTTGTGATCTTAAGACACAACACAACTTTTTTAAAAGAACTCGCTCAGCTAATAGAGGAAAATTCACTATGCACAATGAAGTACTTGATGCTTCGGGGTAACACATCTAAAGATTCCACCAAGAGGTTTAAACAATAAACTATGATACATATATCTTAACAAGTTTATGATGTGAGAACACCCTCATTTCTCCAGTTTGGCTTTTCTCCTTTAGGGCTATATAGTTACTGTTCACTTAGGAGACAATTTCACAAGCCTTACTAAACTTTATTCCATTCACATCCTATTGTCCATTAAGTTGTGTCACAGAATCATTCTTTGAAGACAGAAATGAGAAAGGAATTTGTTTGGTAAGATAAACAAGACAACACAAGACTTGAAAGTCTGAGAACCTTGAGTTTATTTTGTACAGATGAAGAAGTTTGGGTGTTATTAGGGCTGGGGACTTAGCTCAGTACCAAGCCTGCTTTGCAAGTATGAGGGGCTGAGTTTGGAACATCAACATAAAAAAAAATCATATATGGTAGCATGATTCTGTAATCCTAGTGCCAGAAGGTTAATCACAAGATTCCACAGCTGGAATGATGAGCTCTAGGCTCAGACAGAACCCCGTATTTCATCAAACACAGTGGTGACACAGGAAGACACCAAACACAGAACCATCATACCATGTATGCATGAACACACACACTGTCAACTAATAACTATACCTATGATTATTAAATTACCTTGTCCTTTCATATTAGCATGCAGAAAATGTCACAGTTTGCAGAAATCATCTGTTGACTGCGAGTCTGGAAATGACTATTATTCCTAGTGCTTTACTATATTATCAATTCATTTCAAAAACAAATCAAACACTTTTATTTAAAAGAAAAAATAGTTACATTTCACCTAGAAATACACTCTTAACTTTTAAACAAAAAGTGAAGCATACAATTTATTTTTTGAAAGTATTTAAGGTTTTGATTTCAGAGAAAATATACAAGCATACCCCATTTTCTGCTAATAAAATATTTCTGCAAGTTTTATGGTAAGTAATCTATGATTCAAAATGACAACAATGACATACCAAAGACTGAACACATGTCTAGCCTGAAAGTTCATCCTTGAGTTAAAACATAGAAGTTTTATGAACCAGAAAGGTTCCTAAAGTTACCAATGTCAGCACCGCACAAAAATTTGTTTGGATTAATCATGCTATTAAAATAATAAGATCTGGCATACAAATCTTTATGTAGCAACAAACTGGTTTTATTTTCTCAACTTAAGAGATTAAGGTAATTATGTTCACAGCCCTAAAATACTTTGATAGGAGCTGATGCACTTCAACTCTCTCCTCCGTGATAAACTTCTCCAGAGCACGCAGAGGCATTCAAAGAAATCCCACTGTGAACACTAGATGGAGGGACCGTATGTATGGTGGAATTGATTTTGTGAGCAAAAAAAGAAGTAGAGGGCTAACTATTGGTTTAGTAACATTAAATTAATAAATTGCTTTTATGAGACAATTTTCAAAGTAGGAAAGGCTGTGAACCTAATTTTTTCTAATACATTTTTAGATTTACTTTGTGTGTGTGAAGGCTTTCCTTGCATGTATGTCTGTGTACCACATGCATGTATGGTGTCTAATGGTGAGTCTCTGGATGATGGGATGGGAACTGAATCTCAATCCTTTGAAAGAACAACAAGTGCTCTTACCCACGGAGCCAACTCTCTAGCCCCTGTGAAACTAATTTTAATAAGACAAGCATTTTCCAATTTTAGTAGGTTTAAAGTATTTCTAAAAACTCACATACCTGCATCAATACACACAGGGTTATTTTGTTGGGAGATTGAGATGCACTACTTTGTACATATGCCAATGCTTTACTTACCTTGTAAGAAAGCTAGTTTTATGCTATAAACACATGTTAATTTCAGATCTTTTAAACATGGCTTGGATGATCACAGGTCAGTATGTGAGCCTGAAAGGTGACTTACCGCATCTTTTTTAGTCCACACATGTTTCCCTTTCGTGCAGCCCTCCTGGGCTAAGAATGTATTAAAATCTGAGGTTTTTCTTCTACAACAGCTCCAATATTTCATCCTTTAAATCAGACAATGGATTAAAGTTATCATTAAAACAGATGTAATTAAGAAATAAATACTCCAACTTTAAATATCTTGCAAGTATTTATTAGTGAACAGTTAAAATGGATACATACTAGGAAAACTAATTATTTAAAAACCAGGGTGACATTTATTTTATTAACTTAGCTTTTGAATAAATCTATAATCACAAATTCCAAGTCTAGGTTCTGAGAATGTACAGCCTAATTCCTTCATGAAGCTACCAAAAGTGATATGAATGAATACTGTAATAGCCACACTTCAACAACCCACTAAAGACCAAGGAACAAAGTAGAAACTAGCGCTTCCACACATGATGAACAATCTCAAAGAACGGAAAACCACTACTACTAACTTGAGATAAAACCCTGCACAGGTAACTGAAAATTACATATCTCCAGGCATCCGAAGCATTTGGAAACACAGTATAGAGACAAACTCAAAATTGAGAGTTATGGAAAAGCATGGGCTTTCCACGCCCCATGGCCAAAAATTCCAATGTCCTAAAAATGAATGACAGTCTTTTAAGAAAAGCAATTCAGGCCACTCGGTAGGTCATGCCTCTAAGTGCTCTCTGCAGGAGGCTAAGGCCTGAGTACCTTAAGGTAGAGGCAATGCACACAACCAAAGTCTAAATAAGAACACACTGAAAAATTACAATGATTACTTAAAAATTATGAAGGCAACTGCCTCTGCCCTTTTCTTAGATTATAAGGATTAAATGGCAATGTAGGTAAAATTTTTCCAAAAACTGAATGGCAATGTTTAAAGATATAAAAGTTTAATATTTTGAATTACTACTATAAATTTTTATTAGAAATACATAAGTTACCCCTCATGGAAAATAGGTACTCCAGAATGATACACACAGACTTCGTCTAGACTCTGTAGACCCTGGTATGTCTAAAAAACAAAGACAAAGAGAAAAAATTAGCTGTTCATCTCACACTTGCATCTTACACCTATCTGTAGTACTCGTTACCTATAAGGCCTTTAGAAAATACTTAAATAACAGCAGCTATAATACTGGTAAATTCATCCAGAAATGGAAAATGCCTCTCTTTTGAACATAAATAAACTATAGATTCCTGCAAAGAAAGAAATCAGAAAGGTAGCCAACTTACTAAATAAGAGGCTTTAAGGCTTTTAGGCATGAGGTTACAATGAACTAAGTCCAAATATTTAAATTTACAGAAATGTGTTGGAATCAAGGGACTTACACTCTTCCCAAAACAGAGTATGATTTATGTGTTTAGTATACTCTGTGTGGGCATCACTAATTAATATGGAAAATCTAAAAAGCAATTCTGGAAGTTTCAGGAAATGGTGATATCTTATCCCTACAAATGGTAAAATGAGCTGCAGACCTATATAAACATCCATGGTTTGTCTGGAAGATCCGGGCCCCACTGCTGCTGTACATGAAGGCTCTACAGATGAATTCACAAAAAGTTATGTTAATAAAACATGGATGTAGCTGATAGTATGTTCTCTAATTTTATAATCATATTAACTAAAGTAGAGAAGACCAAGATTTTGTGTTTCTTTTCTGTAGGTCCAAAGTACTAGGTGTTTATCACCTTAAGTACATAAATTCCAGTATATTAGAATCTGAACTTATCATTACTGCCACCTAAATGTCTCTTTTCTTATCTTATCCAATGGCACCAAATGCATCCAGTCCTCCAAATCTGAATCAGTACATCTGTCCTTTCTACCTCTGAAGTTATCGCAAAATCTGGTCAAACTCAAAAGACTAACTCGTTTAAACTCACTCAAGGACTAGCAAATGCTCCTTGAATGTCCTTTATTTAAAAAAACTCTCATATTTTCCACCATACTCTGTGTTTCACATAAAGTACCCCTGCATGAGAAAATGTAGCTCAGAACAAGTTGTGCAGGAGAATTGTCTGTATTCTGTCAATCATGTTTTAAATAAACGGTGATTGGCCAGGCAGGAAGTATAGGTGGGTCAACCAGACAGGAAACAGAGGCGGGGCAATGAGAACAGGAGAATTCTGGGAAGGAGGAAGCCCATTTTCGCCCAGACCATCGAAGAAGCAACATGTGACATGCCCCACTGAAAAAGGTACTGAGCCACATGGCTAACATAGATAAGAATAATGGGTTAATATAAGGTACCAGAGCTAATAAGAAGACTGAGCTAATGGGCCAATCAGTTTATAACCTAATGTAGACTTTGTGTGATTTCTTTAGGGCTTGCCAGCTGTCGGGTACCGGGTGGGACATTAACCCTAACAAGCCGGCCCATCATGTTACAAACAAGTACTTCTTAAATAAAGTAGAACACTGTCAACAAAGGAAAAAAAAAACAGGAAAACTTCCATTTCATGAAAACTGAAAGAAAGTCTCTTTGTTTATCAATGGTATCATCAGCCCAGTGGAAATCAAATGAAATACCTCTGACAAGAGACCTGGAGCTAAGAGATATGAATAGTTCCTACAAGACTGCTAGGGAAAGGATGACAAGAAAGGCTAGCAGAGAGATCACGGGCATGTGGTCAGAGAGGAAAGACCTGAGCAGTAGTAGGCACGTCAGTGGGCACTCAACACCGCCGAGGTCAAGGAAACACAAAGTAAGAAGACTGTATGCTCTATCAGAAGAGCTGAACTATAAAACACTGATACGACAAAGGGAGCCAATGTGGATCCAATTCATCAGTACTGACAAGCATATAAAATATGCAACCTTTTGAAATCTCCTATGTCTACGTATCTGCTGAAAATGAACACATACATCTAATCCCATTTCTAGTATGTCACACACTGAAGTGTTTAAGGTCAGTGTTATTTAAAAAAAAAAACAGTGGGAAGGAAAAATCAATTATCACAATTATCAATTGTAGCACATGCTCAACAATGACATTCACAAAGCACCAAAAAGGGCAAGATTATGGTTATATTCCCTAAAACAAACCTAACAAACCCAAATGAAAGATTAAGAAAGAGGACAAAGAGAGCAAGATACGTGCTGACAGATAAAGATAATCTTTTCAGGGGAGCGTGTGAAAAAGCTGAAGATACTGCCGGCTTCATTTTGAAAGTCATCAAGTTTAAGTTTGTTCGTGAACAAGTTCTAACAAATTTCACTATTTCAATGAAATAGATTAAAAATTTCTTAAATCCTCTATAACCTAAAAATTTAATTTCTCACCACTAAAGGCACTTAAATTTGGTTATCTCTTAATTTCAACCTACATAAGGAAACAGTATTATGACATTCCCATTATTTTCTCTGTATTACTGCAATCAGTTTTGTTAGATATACCTCCCTCACTCCATTGTTGATACTTTTATTGAGTTGAATTTCCGCTCGGACTCTGCCACCTGTACTGCCTTTCCTACTCTCTACCAACAGCACCCAACTATGAACCCTGTGAGCTCTAACGGCAAACTGCCAGTGAGACTGGAGACTGGTGCAATGGTAGCATGAATATGAGGGCATAACAAATTGCCCTTTGACTGGATTCAAGGCCCACTCCAGAAGATTCAATCCACACCTCAAACTATTAATGAGGCCAGAACCCGAGGCTAGACAGGTAGACCATGTGCTCTGGGGGAAAACTACTACTTCTCTGCTAAATGTACAACACAGGGAAATACATATTGCTAACCATAGATCAGAGAAGCTTCTTGTGGTTGATGGTAACTAACAGACAATTTGACAGTAGGTAAACAATGCGAAAGCTTGGAGCACCCAGCCATAAATGGGATGTCTGAATATTCAAGGCTCAGGAATCTACAAAGTAGATTCAACGAGCCAGAAGTGGTGGATGACTCCAATGAAACAGCGTGCTCCAGATAGAACTTATGTACATACGAACAGAGACCGCGACAGCATGCACAAGACTTGAAGGGGGGGATAAGAAAAACTCCAGCACGGAGAAGAGAAAGTGGGCATACCTAACCAAGAAGCAGTTTGCAACTGGCAACTGATGAGAAAGGGGGGAAAAAATCTAACCATGCTCCAGGACAGGCTTCACGCTCATGAGGAGCTGACCAAAACAAAACAGATTTCAGTTTTTTTTTTTTGTTTTTTTTTTTTTTTCGAGACAGGGTTTCTCTGTGGTTTTGGAGCCTGTCCTGGAACTAGCTCTTGTAGACCAGGCTGGTCTCGAACTCACAGAGATCCGCCTGCCTCTGCCTCCCGAGTGTTGGGATTAAAGGCGTGAGCCACCACCGCCCGGCCAGATTTCAGTTTTTATATGTGTGCACTTTCAGTTATGTTTCGGTGATTTATTTATTTCTTGAGAGAGAGAAAAAGAACATGAAGTTGGGTGAGTAGGGAGGATTTGGAAAGGCTTGGGAATATGAAAAGAATACTACCAAATTAAATTGAATGAAATTTTAAAAAAGTAATAAAATTGAAAATGAAAAAAAAAATTACCCCCTTTTACTTACAACTTCTACCTTATACATATGAGGCTCTACTTCTGTTTCCATTCCACTTTTAGTAAGCAAGGGAATCTCAAACATCATAGAAGGAAAACAAACCTGCTGACATCCCATCTTCACTCTTAACTCTAACTGGTCCGGCAACAATAAAGATACCACTTTTATTGTTATTTCATTATTTTATCAGCATGAGTATTTTGCCCAATCATGTCTATGCACCAAATGTGTGCCTGGAGCCCAGGGAGGACAAAAGAGGTAATGGACCCCCTTGACCTAGAGTTGCACATGGCTGTGAACTGCCATATACATGGTTAGAATCAAGCCTAGGCTGTAAGAAGGAGCAGTTACTGCTCTTAATTGTTTCAGACACTTGTGTCCCTTATTTTAACTAATAGACTACTTAAACAATGGACCCCAAAAAAGAAATTACCCACAGGAATATCATGCTGGAAGAGAAGGCCTAAATTCTGTGCCAGTCAAATGGAAAAGCCACACCATGATGAGTTTATGGTTGGTGGAACCAGACCTTGATTGGGACCTGGTGTAGGAAGTCCTTCTGTTTATGTGTAGCTTTTATTGATTAATGAATAAATCTGTTTTGGCCAGTGACTTAGCAGAATATGGCAAGGCAGGAGTTCCAAGCAGATAGAGGAAGACAGAGTAGGGGGAATCACGGAGACGCCATGTAGCCACCAGAGGGGAAAGATGTGACCTGCCATCTGGAACCTTGCTGGTAGGCCACGACCCTCGCGGTTAAATATAAAATAATGGAAATAGGTTAATTCTAGATGTAGGAGCTAACTAGCAATATGCTTAAGCTATTGGCCAAGCAGTACTGCAAATAATATGGTTTCTGAGTGATTATTTTGGGTCTGAGTAGCCAGAATGAACAAAGGGCTGCTCCCAACAGGGACCGCTTAGTTATACATACCTCTAGGCCTCTATTTAAGCCATCTCTTACACAAAATGGACTGGTGGCGGGGTGTGTGTGTGTGTGTGTGTGTGTGTGTGTGTGAGAGAGAGAGAGAGGGCTGGATCTTTGTCCCTCTTCCCAATGTGATCACATGTATTAGAAAAAAGCCTTTCCTGTTTTTCTCAGATTAATTTATCTATTTAAAAATTGGCTTATCAAAGATGGGTGTCTGAACTTGGCTTCTTGGGGCTTAGGCTGTGACCCTAAATTCACTAATTACCCATATTCTTGAAGATACAAGTATTCAAAGTATACTACTTCCTTAACCACGGCTTTCAATTATTGCCCAAGCCCTGGGATCTTGCATGCACTGAGTAGCACAGATCTAAAGCCTCTCGACCTGCTCCCTCTAGGGATGGTTCTACTCCCAGGTTTAGTCCTCCTCCCCCCAATTCCAACCTAGTACCGCATCAGAAAGATCTTCACCAACAAATCTTATTTAAGTAGCCCCTGACTGGAACCTCTGTAGTTGCTCTTTGTTTATTAAATTGTTTAGTAAATTGTTTATTAAATTTACTTCAGGTGTGTCTGAATTAATTATTCAATGGTCTAGTCTGTTCTCTTGCTCACATAATATATTCACTCCTCAGGTTTTTGTGTGATACTATTGTCTCCAGCCCCTGAACCAATGTCTAGCATATATCAAGTGCTTAGTAATTGTCAATTAAATTAGATTTATTCCCATAATTCTACCAGATGTTCCTCTTAGAAAATCTCTACTGTATTTATAGTCCTAGTGTTCAACAAAGTACCCAACATTTAACTAGCATCCAGGTGTTTGCTACCTTTAGAGTGATTCAGAGCCCTTTGCGTCCATGTTAAAATTTTACTCCATAAATCCAACGTTTTATAATATATACCTTTGAACACCCTCCATTTTTACAAGAAGTCCCAATCTTAATTTCATCACTGTCTTCTTCTGCAATGGAAAAAAAGGTAACACAAAGTTTCATAACTATGTTCTTTTAAAACAAAGGAATAAAATCTAAAATTACAATATTAAAATAGAACCCCACAGTTGTATTAGTATTAAAAAATAATCTTTCTATAAAATAAGTAAGATTTAAAGAAAAAGAAATAGAGAAAAAGAAACCCACAGCCCAGCTGATCTGGTGCTGTACATTCTAGCACTTTGAAGGCTGAGGCAAGAGGGCTATGAGTTCTAAGATACGCTCAATCACAAAGCAATATCCAAGACAGCTACCGGACAATTCTCTCCAAACAAAACAAACAAAAAGCCGGACATCTAGTTTTGCGTATATGCCCCCAAATGATATGTTTTCATTCTATAATGCAGAGCTTATCCAATTTTAAAGCTCTTTTTTTTTTTTTTTCGAGACAGGGTTTCTCTGTGGCTTTTAAAGCTCTATACAGCAGAAATCACGGAAGGTATTTTTGCCCCTTAATAGTAAGCAGAGGTCAATGGATAAGAAAATAGATTTTATAGGATGTGCAAAAACCATTTCATTTATTGAAGAAATTTCGTTGATAAAGGAATTAAGGGGTGCTAAGCTTGCACACGGACATAATCGATGAACTGAATGCTCTTTCATGGTGCCATCAGCATCTGGGAATGAAGTAAGTTCTTCCCTACAGTGTGCTACAGTTCCACACACTCAGTGCTCTACAGCTACCTCTTACTTACACAGAAGAACATTGTGAAAAACAAAAAAACAGGGACTTACCTTTCTTATCTTCTTCATTCCCTGACGACAGTTTAAGTTTATCAAGTGCTTGTTTTAGGGAAGCAGATATTTTTAATTCCAAGTTTGTCATTGGCTCATCTGGGCTGGAGAATTTTGAAGGTATATTATCATCAATAGACCAAAGTATTTCTTTGTACTTAATATTGACGACCTTAAAAATCTTCCATGAGCCATTAAATATTTGTTAAGTTATTCCTTAAAAAGTATCTTATAAACATTTATCAATATTTTAACTTTTAATAAAATGATTCTTCTATTAAGAAATTAAGTTTCAAATATTAAAGACACTGCTAGCATTAAAAGACACTACTACACAGTGGAGTTATAGGGAGTAAGACTAGGAATGTAAACTCTGAGCACAAATTCTTAAGCACTAAGTGAAAGCATACTTATCTGTATTAGAGTCAATTAACTTTATGTGGAGAAATGACATACAGACTTCCAAATTTAGATACAATTTTATGACAGTGTAAATCACAACCATCTTTTAATATTTCATAACGGTTAAGATTTTTATATATAATTTCCAAGTCTGACAATAAGTGAATATTAAGACTATTAATAAATATAGCAATAAAATATATCATAGGTAATTCGCTCTGCATCCACAATTATAAACTGGGAAACATTAATAAAGTACAGTGAAACAATTTAACTCATGTATCAAATGGATTTAAATAAAACGTTTAAGTGATGGACAGCTACCTCACTGATTAGGAGAACATAGTGTTCTTTCAAAAGATTGGGATCAAGAGGTCTAACTCTGGTTCCAGGAGAATCAGATGTTCTCTATAGGTACCAGGAATGGAAGTGCTCAGATACACATGCAGGCAAAACATACCCATACAGACTAAAAAAAATACATTTAATTTTTTTCATAGCCTCCTAAGTAGAACATAAATCTGAAGTCCATCATTTAAAAAATGGTATTAACTCATACTATTATTATATTCTAGGAAGCTCTACTGTGATGTAACAGATTAAAACACAACCTATAGTATAACAGAATTCTTGTCTTTTTCCAGTACTTTTTTTAATGGCCTAGGCTTGTGTTTGACAGTCTACTAAGACTGAATTAATAATGCAGGTGGAATAAAAGCATTCAGATCTTGAACTATAGCCTATACTTCAAAATATTAATGAGCAAACAAACATTGAAACTTAGGATTCTTGTGCTATATTCGTAAGTCTATAAATTTATTTAAGTATAATAAAGAAAAGGAAGATTGTAAATTTACAGCGTGAATAAAAGCTTCAATTGATTTCAATGATTTCTCAGGCTTGTATTGAAAAAGAACTCATCTGAGAGACGTATCTGGAGCCCAAATCCTGAGTTTACATTTTGTAGTTCAAGTTCTAAAACAACCACTATTTAAGTGCAGTTTGAGGCTCTTGTGTTACACAAGTAAACCCATTAATGTCTTTTAGAATATAGTCTTGTTTGAACAGAAGGAGATTATAAACAATCTAATTCTACTTCAAACTGAGGCAAAAGCTATTCTTAAAGTATTTTGACAGGCAGGCTATCACAAATCAAATAAAATAAAACTCTCCAAGTACTAATGAGAGTAACTAATTCATATTCAACCTGAAAGCACAAGTAAGTGGCCTTTACTTTAGGCCTCTGTGGCCCTTCAATTTAAACTAACTGTATAAACGGACAATTCTTTTACTGAATTCCACCATGCCACATGGGAAAGATACACCAGAAAATGAAGACATACAACTTCCCAGTTGTGGGCATGCCCTCAAAAATGACAGGATTATTGCCAAAAGAAAAACACATACAGTGGCCTCATTAGAAAAGCCTTTATATACAATGTTAGAAAGAATTACCACTGGTAAATGCCATTATCATAGTCTTACAAATACAAACAGCTGTATAGAGTATACCTTGGCCTTTTTATTGCTTCTACTGGTTTAGGGGCTTGAATGATGTGTTCCTGAAATTTGGGTTTTAATTCAGACAGCTCTTTCTTCTCTGTAGTCTTGACTTCAGGCTTGACTGGTTCAGGTGGCTTCTCACTATTATGCCTACCTTTTGTACATCCCTGTCAGTAAAAGATACAGATGAACAGTTATGCTTTCACCTACTTTATGTATTATGTATGTTTGTATTTTGGGTGCTTTAAGAAGCAAATTATGTATATATGCCAAAGCCTATTCAAAAAGGCCACAGTCTGCAGTCTCAGTCGGTAGAGTGCTTGTCTAGCATGCAGCTCTGAGTGTGACCTCCAATACCGCTAAGCCTGGTGTAGTTTCAGCTGTAATCTCAGCATTTGGATTCGGAAGCTGGAAGTTCAGGAGTTCAAGGTCATCCTCACTAATACTTGGGTTTTGTGAGACCCTGCCTTAAAACAAGACTCTCAATCTAACATCTCAATCTAGGCTTCAACTTTCCTATTAAACTGAAATATGTCTTAGCTTGAATAATCTTTTACAACTCATTTTTCTCATCTATAATATAGAAACAGCTTTCTTCCTTGGTGCCATATAAAACAATGAACCATCCCGTTGGTTTCTTTTTACTGCCTCTAATTAAAAATATGCTTTATCATTGCCTGCCTGTGACTTCCTCCTTTTCAGGACTACCAAAATCAAGAATGTAAAATATATTTATGTATATATGGTATGCATGGTTTGTAGTTAACATAAAATCCTATTCTCCAAGGCAAACAAAGGATTTTTAGAGGCTATGGAAGAGATGAATCCCCTTTGTAAAGTTTGGCGTGACCAGATAGCTGAGTTAGTGGATAGCAGTGATTGGACTGCTCCATCTGGAGTTTCTAGGAGGATGTCCTTTGAGAAATATAAAAAGAATAAATTAGTACTTACTACAATGCTTAAAAAGTCAGAAAAATCAGTTGTTCTTCTCTTACAGCAGGACCAACCCTATAAAACAAGTAAAAATAAGCAAGCAGACCCTTAAAACTGTGCTGCTCTTCTTCCTTGAATCCTGACACATACACATACAAACATACATGAATTCAGTTTTCTTTTTTGATTTTCGAGACAGGGTTTCTCCGTAGCTTTTGGTTCCTTTCCTGGAACTAGCTCTTGTAGACCAGCCTGGCCTCTAACTCAGAGATCCGCCTGCCTCTGCCTCCCGAGTGCTGGGATTAAAGGTGTGCGCCACCACCGCCCAGCATGAGTTCAGTTTTCTTAAGGTGCTTCCCAATCACATGACTTTTTAAATAATCACTAACTATTTAAAACAGAAAATCAGAAGCTTTTGATTTGTTTATGAATACTATTTGACCTTTAGAAAAAAGTTTTTAAACATCATCTACTGGATTACGGATTAACTCACTGGAATTCTTCCCTGGTGCCAAATTCAATTCCAACAACCACTCTTTAATTCATGTATTTAAAGGATCTGACAAATAAGGTCATTAACATGAGGGGAGCCTATTAAGTAACAATTATAGTACTGTCGTTTCTAAACAGTTAAACTAACCTTTCAGCGAGAAGCGGAGCAGACAAAAGCAACTGAAGTAAGTAAGGTTTTAATCAACTGTCAAATGACTCTTTGGGATTCAAGCAGGGAGTTTATAAAACCTGGAAAGGAGACAGATGTCACCTGTTATAATGCCCTCTTCTGCCCACCAAGTTAAAAATGAGCCAGGGCAGAATGTTTATAATGAATTAATCAGCGGGGCAGCTTTTATCTTACCCAGAGTTAAACATGCTCATAGTGATAAATGATTTTATTGGTCTACCATGTCAAACAGACATCTTGGGTTTTGGGTAATAAGAGCAGTCCTTAAGTGACTAGAAAGTTAAACCAATGACAATAAGGCTCAACAATTCCTCCTTGGCTAGCCAGAAAATTGACTGCTTTGGTCTTTAGAAGCCTTTATCATCCTGATTCTTTTTCAACCCTCAATAAAAGCCAACAGGAACAAAGAACAGAGGCCCCGGTTCTGATACTCTCTCCTTCCACTGCTTGCCTCACCACCACCTATAAGATGTACTATTGATTCTTTCATTCTACTCTGGTTTCATTAAAAGCTTGTCTGACTTTTCTGCTGGCCTCCATCTTTTTTTTTGTCTGGTGTTATACCACTGAGGAAGGGGTCTAATTTTAATCATTTTACCCCAAAACCAGGTACTTTACCATAAACAGCTTACTGAAGGTGGCTTTTAGTTATTGATTTTAATTCTAATGTAGTAGGAAATAAGGAAATAGAAATACAATATCCTTGTGGCCCCAAATTCATATTAAGTTCTTGTGGGACAGCTTAAGGCATAGAAGTTTTGGTAGTGAATTTTGTTTTTTATAACATTATACGCACTATCAGGTTATCTTTCCAGTTCTTAAAAAAGAAAAATTAAATATTCTATAATTTACTGTTTTTCCTTTTCTTGTGAACTTTAGATTAAGATGCACATGAACCAATTACCGTACTCTTACAGCATTTAAAGAGTACTGATACTATTCAACAAATTTAATTGTGTGTGTGTGCATGAGAGAGAGAGAGAGTGTGACGGAAACTTAGCATTTAACTGGTACATGGAAACATGTAAACAAGGTGCAAGCAGCTAAGTTTGTGTTATCTGCTCAGTTCTGTGTGAGGAAAACACTGTTGGAGAGGGTCCTTTGTCCAGCTCCTGCTCTGATCTTTTTAGCTTCGTTAACAGTCTTTATGTGTGTTGAAACCGATTATGAAGGTGTATTTCTCTTTTTTGGAAAAGGACTGTTTCTTGATTGCTGTTCCTTATCCTCTTACTACTTTCTCCTATTTCCTAACCATAGGGATGTTTCTCATTTTTTGTTCCTGAAGTACATCTGTTTGTGTCCTCAAATTGTCAACTCTAGTCTAGTGATTCTTTGGCATATTCTGTATGTATGTGCTCTACAGATAGCATCAAACCATTCCTAAACTGAAGTGTTTGTATTACTCTCATTTCTATAGTTGTGTTGGTTTTTATTAGCTCTGTTCATTGTATGAATGTGTGTGTGTGGGGGGGGGGCGCTAGAGGCCAGAAGTCAACATCTAGGGTCCTCTGCTCTCCACCTAACTTTTTGAGACAAGGTCTCTTATAAAACCTGGAGCTTGATAATTCATCTAGACTAGCTAGACAGAAAGGCCAAGGACCTGCTTTTCCCTGACCTGGGTTAAAGACAAGCCCTTCACTTTGATTTTATGTATGTGTTGGGGATCCAAATTTAGGTGTCATGCTTGGATGAGTGATGGCACTGTCAATCATTCTCCAGACTCTCGTTGTCTGTCTGTATTCTACACTACGTATTATAAATCTTGGATTGCAAGACCCAATAAATTTCAGGTAATACAAGGTCTGATATAAAGCCACTAGTTTTCTACTTAATGAAATGAGTAAATTTATATTAACAACAATAAGAGGAATATTGAGAGAAAAGTTCTGTAATGTTAATATTCAAGGAAAGATTATAAGTAGCCTTATGCTTACAAAATTAAGTTTATCTTTCTCTAAAAATGTATGTTACTGAGAACTTGCACACCTCATATTAGTCATGAATTTTTAAAAAGACATCAAAAACCTTGTCAAAACAAAGCAAATACAAACAAAAAAAACCACCACTGTACTATTTCTCTGATTCTTCAGCTCACCAAGGAAATAAAGGAGAAAATACAGTATGACTTTTCCAGTAAAACACTTGTAGAAGCATTAAACATCTGAAACAACCAATAGAATACTCAGAGGAGAGCCAGGAGGCGGTGGCACACGCCTTTAATCCCCTTACTTGGGAGGCAGAGGCAGGCGGATCTGTGTGAGTTCAAGGCTTGCCTGGTCTACAAGATCTAGTTCCAGAATAGGCTCCAAAGCTATGGAGAAACCTTGTTTCGGAAAAAATCAAAAACCAAACCATTCAGACGAAGCCTTTCTTATTAGCAAACACTGACAAACTAAAGACCAAGCAGTATAACTGCTTTTATTTAACTTGGAACATAGGAAGGGAATAAATCATTAGAAAAAAGAGTCGGAATGTAAATAACTATAATGAGGAAATATTACTGTCTACTCTCTTCTGTCTTTAAAGACTATGCTTAAAGCACCCTCAAATGGTCATTAAGAAAAACTGACAAGCTGAAGCAGGAAAAAAAATTCTATCTTTAATTTTATCTTGCAAGTATAAAGAAACTGAAAAGTAACTTGTTCCTACCTTCAGGGCATCATGAAATACAGGTACACCTGGGTGGTACGTGCAAGCATCTGGTCAAAACAGAGAAAGGAAACAACAGCTGTTTATCAATTACAAGTTTATATATCCCTCCTTAGGGTGCTTAAGGGTTCGATCGTTTTTCCAAAAGCAGGCAAATTACTCTTAGCACTTCATTAAGTTTTTTGTATTAAATCTCTAAGAGTATGATACAGGGACAAAATACAGAACTGTTCAAGAATAACACACGGGAATACTCTGTGGCAGTGGTTCAACCTTCCTTATGCTGTGAACATAAGGAATACAGTTCCTCATACTGTGGTGACTCCCCCAACCATTAAATTAGTTCATTGCTACTTCATAACATAATGTAAACATCTGTTTTCCAATGGTCTTAGGAGATTCTGTTAAAGGACCATTTGATCCTTAAAGGGGTTGTGACCCACACGCTGAGAACCACCACTCTAGCATTCTTCCATCTTTTGTAAGAAAACTTCTTTACTACTAAACTTGAAGTCCTAATGATTCTGGCAATATCTCTTTTTATTCTCTAAGAATTTCATACATGTGCGCAAATTATCTCAGTCGTATCCACCCTCCTCACTTGCTACCCCACCTACTCACCTCCCTCTCCTTTCCCCAGAACTTCACACACACTGAGTCACTGAGTCCAACCAGTGCTGTCTATAGCCACTCCCCTGAAGAAAAGTCATTCCTGTCCCAGCTGCCATCACCTGCCTACAGCTTCCCAGCTTAGCTTGGGGGAAGCACAGACTTTCCTTCTCCCTGTGGGCTGGAATATTTTAACTAGAGGATGTTGTATTGGGCAGTCTTGTGCAGGCAACCACATGTACAACTACATGTACGAAACAGTCACGTTATATCTAGAGCACAGAATTTCACAGCTCTCCTTCCCATCTTTTGTTCTCAATTATCTTTTCAAAAGAATTTCTTTCTTTCTTTCTTTTTTTTTTTTTTTTTTGGTTTTTTGAGACAGGGTTTCTCTGTGGCTTTAGAGCCTGTCCTGGAACTAGCTCTTGTAGACCAAGCTGGTCTCGAACTCACAAAGATCTGCCTGCCTCTGCCTCCCAAGTGCTGGGATTAAAGGTGTGTGACACCACCACCGGGCAACAATATCAAATTTAAGTATACTTATAAACTGATCCATAAAAATTGCCCAAGCTTCTCTAAAAAGATATTATGAAAAAAATTAACTCAACATTTTAATCACTGCAGAAATACCTAATTGCTACATTAGCATTCTTAACAAGTAATTCCTAAATACAAGCCAGAGTTCAGTTCTATAATATATTTCATGGTTGCTATTGATCATTTTATATTTCTGGACTCTTTTCCATATCACAGAAATTTTAACTTATTTAACTTGTATACAAAATACGTTTATTACCTCTATCAATGTGGAGTATTTTATTCGTAATAAACACACATTACCTGAGAATGCAGTACACCATGATGTTAGAGAACGACACTTATATTCCTCTGTAATTTTCTTACTTGACTCAAACTTCTAAGTTGAATTCTCCCATCCTGCCCCGGCTTCCCAACAATCTGATTCCCTGTATTGCCCTTAAATCTCTCTACCCTCTACTATTATCTCCTATTACTTCTTTACTAAGTGCTGGTTATGCATACAAAGTACTAGGTAATGGAATGGAACACCGAGAACCCACAGATTAGGAAGAGGTTACTAGTTACATACTGCAGAGTTAGAAGAAGGAAGCTGGGCATGGAAATGTGCATGCACAAAGATATGAAGTTGAGAGGGAATAGCAGATCATTTTATTTAATGTGCAATCACTACCATAAAGTATACAATGTATAAATACAGCTGGACAACAGGTTACAGCATTGAATTAACTGTAAAAATCACTGCTTTCGAAGGAAATGACATTAGATGGGCAGAAGAACCTCCTCTAGCATTTCTCAGGCTTACCAGCATTGCTGAAATTCATACTTACAGCAGACTAGTGACTATGTTGAAGGCCTTTTTACACTAGGCTTAGCTGAAATCTTCACTTGTCACTCGTAGCTGCTGTGCTGTTTGCAAAGGCGTGTCTCCTTTAGAGTACTTAACACATGTAAGCTATGATCCATATTTCTTTTTAACATGTACTTGAATCACAAACCAAAACGTCCTATCATCTTGAAAAGAGGCTAATTTTTGAATGCGAGGCAAAACAAAAGAAACAAAGATAAAACTAAAGGAATGAAATAAGTCAATAAACGTGGAAATTATACTACACTATTATAAAAGGGAAGACTGCGTACAGCCTTACAGCTTCTTACAAATACGACCTCATCACTGCACTCCCTGAGAACACAGACCACACGGGCACCTTCAACATAAACAGTTTAATTTATAATTTCAACGTAAAAGATCAAATTATTCCCATTCCAAAAAACTTTCTCTTAAATCCAGTGTTATCAACTGCCATTCATTCAACCAATTTACTTGACATTTATCCCTAGTTTCTAAAACAATTTCCACTTTGCTAAAGTGAACACATTTCTCTCCAGGTGACTGGAGTTCCCTGCTGTAGGTAGGTGATGCTGTTAATAGCCCGAAATTGATGATTTACTCGTGTGGCTTTCCTAGCCTGGTTTTTGTGTTTGTTTGTTTGTTTGTTTGTTTGTTTTTTACCTTTTCTATGTAATACACCATTCCACACATGGTTAGACTAACTTTCAGTAACAAGTTGGCACAACTCCTGAACTTTGGACCAGAATCTAGTACCCTAAAAATATTGCCCCATGCTACCTATAAAGCAGCAGTGTATTCAGTATTAAAGTAAAACGTGCACATAACCACAGCAGTTTAACAAGTGCTTGTAGCGTGGCTTCATCTTTCCTTTTAAATCCTGTACCACTCTTATTTACAAAGAACTCATCAGTTTACATGGAAACCAAGATAAATATTTCAAACACCGCAAACGTGAAAAAGACCTCTAATTAAGGTACTGGTTTTAACCTCTTCTCACAACGCGGAACTCCGGTCTGAAGCGAGACACTTCACAGGGTAGTCAAATTACGTAACGAAGTGTCAGTTCAATACCGTGCACATAAAAGGCATACTATACATGCCAGGTAAATCTGAAACAAGAGTTGCCACTTTCCACAACAGTCTAGTAATCTGCATAATTCTCCCACTCAATAACGAGACTCACACCTCTGGGTTCACGCACGATAGGTGCTTTGCTTTCACTGCACATTCTTAATTAGAGCACACCGGCTTTTGGAGCATCACTGGGGCTCATCTAATGCTGGTCGGTGTGCTTTAAAACTGCAGGCCCCAGCAAAACTATACCGAAAATGTTCCTACTGTGAGACGGATGTGTTGAGAGTCATTTCCGCAACCAAGCACAGTTCTTCAGAAGACAAGTAAATAGGAGAGGTGGGCTGAACGAGCGACGATACGCTTCTTACTAGCACTCAAAATGCGACCAGAAGTCCAATGCGAGACCGGTCTATTGCCCACTTCCCCGGCCCTCCCGCGCCCAGGAATCAAGGCAGTGACAAAGCGTAAACCGGGTCACGTTAGCCCTGGAACTGAGGAGGTGCAGGGGGTCCCCGGTGAGGGATGAGGGGCACCCGAGACAGCAGCGGCCAGCCCTAGGCGTGGGAGACACGTGGAGGCTCCCGGAGCCGCGGGAGGTCGAGACCGGGCAGGCGAGCGGTGGGCAGGCTCGGGGCCAGGGTCCTCCTTACCGTCCGCATTAGTCTCCGGGTCGAAACGCTGGCCGCAGCCGCGGTTGTAACACAGAAGCGCCATTCCGTCTCCCAGGTGAAACCCACACGGCTGGGACTAAGAGGAAACCACCACGCCAATCGCCGGCACTACCTACAGCAGAGGACGGCGCTGGCTTCCGGTAGCCGCCGGTGCCGCTTCAGGAATTTTCGCGAACGTTCGGGTTGCACAGGCGCAGAAGAGTCGAGAAGCTGGGCCCGAGCCAAGCCCTGGTCGGTAGATTCCCCGCCGGACTCAGCGGGAGAGCGCAGTGGGGGTGGAATCGGACAGTTATAGATGAGACACCCGGGGCCGGAAGCGGAAGTCCCGGCGAGCCTCGCTCCTTTTGTGTCCCGCATCCTCCCGGGGGCGGTGGTGTGTGCTGCGCAGTTCGTTGCCTGAGGCGGCGGCGTGCCCGATCCTCCCTGCAGACGCTCTCTCGGCAGAGGGTGAGTGAGGAGGGCGAGGACAGCCACCTTAACCGGTCTCTGGTCCGGATCTGCGCAGCCGCAGTCCGTCACAATTCTAAGATGCTATTTCACATTAGCTGCCACTTAGCGGTCCATCAGTCGGTCTCATACAGTAAAATTTCAAGTCCATTGTACAAAGCACAATCATTAATAGATAACATGCAAGCAATGTCATCCTGAGCAGATACTTTCAATAGGGCACTTATGAAATAGCAAACACCGTTGATGAGATACAGCAAAAGGATGTGTACTTTCCCGACGAGCCCAAGTTTATTATTAATGGAGACCTGCTTACATCCCAATAAGACTTCTCATTTTTCCACAGCCTTTTAATACCTAGAGATATCAAGCTTATGTATTACTTCAACATAAATAAAGTTATGTATTCCTTTAACCTAAGATGATTTCCATTTTATGTCATTGCTAAGTCATTTTTAGGAATGATGGATGTTTGCTGAATTCTGTCATTTACACGTTCTATAATCTCACTGTTATGCCCAAATCCCCGAAGTCCCTCAAAAACCAACAAGGAGACCAAGTCCTATATGTAAAAGCAAAGAGCCTTTATTTTACGCAAGTTTACAAACTCAGTCTCTCTGTATTGGAATATCCGGAGAGAGCTCAGTTAAAGTTGGGTTTTTATAGTAGGAAAGGTGAGGTGAGGGGTTTCTGAGGTTCAAGTCCCCTGATTGGCTGACGGGATGTCCTGGTGAGTCTGCTGGAACGTTAGGCATTTCCGTTGGATGGTCTATTCTTGGGTGGTGCTCGGGTAATCTCAGTTTGTGGTTCTTCTTGCAACCAGGTATTGCTTCAGGGTAAACTGCTGAGACTCACACCTCCCTTAAACTTATCAATGTGAGTCCTACTCTGGAAGGTGATAATGGTTGGAAGTAAAGAACTTCCTTTGGGTGGTCTGTTTCTACTTAGTTTATCATGGCTGGCTCCTACACTCACCAATTTAATTATGCCCATCAATAAGGAACTTATTGTTTGTTGATTTTTTTTTTCTATTCCGCTAGGAAGTAATTAATACTGTGTAAAGGGCATAAGCCTTTTAAATGCTTCTAAGTTTTTAAAGACTATATATATATATTGCCAATTGATTTCTAAAAGGTGGTACCAATTTTTATTTTAGCCACAGATATCTGCTATAGTAGATCATAGAAATTAATCATAAATAATAAGAAATGGATGAGAAGCTCTAAAGATTTTATTTTGGCCAGCTCCAGTGTTGCGTATCATAGGGTTACAGCATCAGTAATGGGGTTGTTAGACAAATCGTTTAAGTAGGCTTAATATTTAATGTTAGTTGTTTTTCACTGATACAAATTTACATTAAGAAAATAATTGATTATAGTATATTGTAGGAGCCAGCCATGATAGGCTTAATAGAAACAGACCACTCAAAGAAAGTTCTTCCCACCACTATCATCTGCCAGTGTTGGGCCTAGCCATGATAAGCTTAATGGAGACCTGAGTCTCAGTAGTTTACCCTGAAGCAATTGCCTGGTTGCAGGGTGGACCACAAACTGAGATTACCTGAGCACACCCAAAAACAGACCATCCAAAGGAAATACTTAACATTCCAACAGATGTAGATAGGATCACCTGCCAGCACACTCCACAGGACACCCCTAGACAAATGTCAGCCAATCAGGGGTCCTGAACCTCAGAAATCCTTCACCCCAAACCTTTACTACTATAATAATTGAGCTCGGGGCTCTCTGATTATTCCAATACTTTGGACACATGGAGAGACCGAGTTTGCAAACTTGCATAAAATAAAGGCTCTTTGCTGTTACATATGGGACTCAGTCTCCTTGCTGGTTTTGGGGGGACTTCGTGGATCTGGGCATAACAATATAAATTTAAAAATATAAAAACAAGATAAAAAATAACCATCTGGGAGAGTTCAGAATGGACAGGACCAGATTGAGCTGGTTCATATGGTGAGGGGAAGGGAACCAGGAACCAGGTGCCACAACCTGGAAGGCATAGGGCCAAAAGGGACAGGTAACCAAAATGTCTGGATTATGTAGGGAAGAGTCTCTGGAGAAGGGCAGCCTAGCCTTTGGGCTGAATCGTTCAGGACAGAGGGCACAAGGTACGCCAGCCCTCTCTTATAACAAGTAGGGACTGGGATTCTGGAAGAGCCTGAAGGCCAGGTCTGCTTTGGTATTTTAAGAAGCACCCTAGCCTTTTTCCAGGAATGGAAACTTAGTATCTTAACAGATCATTCAAAATTGCTAAACATCTTTAAATATGTGACAATTTGAATTGCTACAAAACCTCAAGCATTTGAAGTTTTATAAAATTGGGGGGGATTTTGTTGTTTACTTTTTTCCTTTTGGACACGGGGTCTCAGTTGTTCACACTGGGCTCAGTCTCACTACATCACTACGTAGCATAGAATGACCTTGCACTCCTGACCTTTTGTCTCTACCTCCATCTTGCAAGGAGTGTAGGTACTACCATTTACTCCTTTACTCAGTTTCCTGTGCTGCTAGAGATTGAATTTAGGATTCCGTGTATGTGAGGACAACACCTACAACTGAACTAACAAAGAGTCGTTTTAAAAGGGGAGCATAAATTGAAAATATTTTTTTTAAATCTTTTTCTGCCTTCTTTTTGTGGGGGAGGGGTCCATTGGTGGAGAGGGCAGATCTGGAAGGACTGGGAAGTGAGTGTGCTCACGTTCATGATGTGAAATTCCTAAATTATCAATAAAACAGAAGACCTCCTTGCAAAAAAAAATATTATGAAAAGAAAATAAAATAAAAAGTACAAGATGGGTATGGCATGCCTGTGATTCCATCAGTCAGGATAAGACCAGAGGATTGTGAGTTTAAGATCATGATGAAATACATAGTACTATTAGTGTCTGAAACTCTCTGAAGAAAGGCCCCAGACTCAAAGAGTATGCAAACACAGAGCCTTTATTCTGCAGCAATAGCTAGCATGCAGGGGTCAATCATCCACACAACGTGGCAATGACAACCCAGGACAAAGACATATATGCCCTTTTAAAGGGAATTTGGGGAATTGTAAGTATGGTGAGCTAATCTTTGTTCTAATTGGACAGTCGAGGAACAGTTACATGGGACATGTGTTGATTGGATGAGGCTAGTAACAGTTTGACCCATTATGGGCTTTTTAATTATAGATGGTCAGTGACTGTCTTATCCTGCACCTTTGCGTCTCCCAGACTTATAAGGTCAGCTTTCAAACTGTGTAACTGGTTAGCTAAACTTGGCTGGAGTACTTCCTGTACTCAGGCTTAGGGTCATTATCTACAAATGGAGTTGCTCCATGTCTGAATTGGAGTTACATTCTGACCCCTTCAATATAACTTATCAAATAAATAAACAAGCAAATAAACAATAGATGTTAAAAACAAGAATACACTGAAATTCATTTTCTAAAGAATAGGAGTAATTAAAATCTAAACAAAATGACTAGAAGTAGCATATAAAAAGTTGTATTTTCCCTTTCTGTCTTGTGCCCATTGACACTCACAGGTGATCATGCACATGAATATTTGTAGACTACAGGTTTTCCTATTATCCATATTTGAATTTTTATACAGCAGTTTTGATGAAAACACATTATTAAACTGTCATATCAAAACTGTGGAAGTACTTCTTTATAGTAATCTTGATGACTGGGTGTGATGTACAAATGTAATCCCAGGACTCAGGATATTGAAGCAGGAAGATCAAGTATTCAAGGCTTGCTGGGCTCCATAATGAGATGCTATCTTTGAAAAACAAGTAAACAAAAACCAAGAAAACTCATTCATGTTTTTTATTTATTGAAGATACTGTTATTATTAACTTTAGTAGTTTCACAAAAGACATCAGAATCATACCTTGTGATACCTTGTCAAAAGCCTATGGATAGGCTCATAGATCCTAACAGGGAAGCAGCTACTCATGTTTTGCTAATTAGAGATGTTGTCAAACTGCCTTCTAAATACCTATGCTTATACCGGTACATGACTGTTGCTCCCAAGCTTGGTCAGAGGAGTTTCTTTTTCATAATGGAAGTCATGTCTCCTTGTAGAGACTCAATGCATAAAAGTGCTGAGAATATGTGACTGTTGAGTTCCCAGCCCTAAATGGGGCATCGGTATCAGTGCTTCCAGCAGCTTTGGCACAGTGAATTTCACACTGTCTTCCTGATGGCAGTACAATGTGGGTGATGAAGGGGCCATGAGGACCCACCCCTAGCTGAGGAGACACTGGTGATTAGTGACTGTTGAAGAGGGGCCACTGATAGGTGCCCCATGTCCCAGTGGATAGTCCCATATCATTGAAGGAGTAGACAATGAGTTATAAGAGGACACAAAAGTGAGAAAGGATTGTGTTGGTGGCAGGATTAGGTGATGTTTTGGGGACTACAGAGGAGTGGGTTGCAGGGCTGGATGTGGTCAAGATATATTGTATATATGGATGAAATTGTGAAAGAATAAATAGAATATTACTGAAAAAAATAAAATAAAAACTAAGTAGTCAGTTAAGTCATGTAGAGAAACACTATGATCACAAACCCGGAAGTACAAGAGTTAAAATAAAACGGTGCAACCCTTGACCAACCTAGGGTTGCTGCCTAGTGAGTAAGCACTCTATATTCCAGCCCTGAAGATAACAGTAGGCATAAGTGGATGTCCATAGGTTTGATAAGTCATAAAATGACTTCTGTAAGGTTTAGGATTGAGCTCTAGAAAAACCATAGCAATTAGAGTGATATAATAAGATTCATTTTGCCTTTCTTTTTCAGTCCAGTGTTCTATGTCTCTTCTTGGTAA